GTATTTACCGATAAAAGATCACGTCTGTATGTATTTACCCATAAAAGATCACGTTTGTCTGTATGTATTTACCCATAAAAGATCACGTCTGTATGTATTTACCCATAAAAGATCACGTCTGGTATTTACCCATAAAAGATCACGTCTGTATGTATTTACCCATAAAAGATCACGTCTGGTATTTACCCATAAAAGATCACGTCTGTATGTTTTTACCCATAAAAGATCACGTCTGGTATTTACCCATAAAAGATCACGTCTGGTATTTACCCATAAAAGATCACGTCTGGTATTTACCCATAAAAGATCACGTCTGTATGTTTTTACCCATAAAAGATCACGTCTGGTATTTACCCATAAAAGATCACGTCTGTATGTTTTTACCCATAAAAGATCACGTCTGGTATTTACCCATAAAAGATCACGTCTGTATGTATTTACCCATAAAAGATCACGTCTGGTATTTACCGATAAAAGATCACGTCTGTATGTATTTACCCATAAAAGATCACGTTTGTCTGTATGTATTTACCCATAAAAGATCACGTCTGTATGTATTTACCCATAAAAGATCACGTCTGGTATTTACCCATAAAAGATCACGTCTGTATGTATTTACCCATAAAAGATCACGTCTGGTATTTACCCATAAAAGATCACGTCTGTATGTTTTTACCCATAAAAGATCACGTCTGGTATTTACCCATAAAAGATCACGTCTGGTATTTACCCATAAAAGATTACGTCTGTATATATTTACCCATAAAAGATCACGTCTGTATGTATTTACCCATAAAAGATCACGTCTGTATGTTTTTACCCATAAAAGATCACGTCTGGTATTTACCCATAAAAGATCACGTCAATATGTTTTTACCCATAAAAGATCACGTCTGGTATTTACCCATAAAAGATCACGTCTGTATGTATTTACCCATAAAAGATCACGTCTGGTATTTACCCATAAAAGATCACGTCTGTATGTATTTACCCATAAAAGATTACGTCTGTATGTATTTACCCATAAAAGATCACGTATGTATGTATTTACCCATAAAAGATCACGCCTGGTATTTACCCATAAAAGATCACGTCTGGTATTTACCCATGAAAGATCAAGCCTGGTATTTACCCATAAAAGATCACGTTTGTCTGTATGTATTTACCCATAAAAGATTACGTCTGTATGTATTTACCCATAAAAGATCACGTCTGTATGTATTTACCCATAAAAGATCACGTCTGTATGTATTTACCCATAAAAGATCACGTATGTATGTATTTACCCATAAAAGATCACGTCTATATGTATTTACCCATAAAAGATCACGTCTGTATGTATTTACCCATAAAAGATCACGTCTGTATGTATTTACCCATAAAAGATCACGTCTGTATGTATTTACCCATAAAAGATCACGTCTGCCTGTATGTATTTACCCATAAAAGATCACGTCTGCCTGTATGTATTTACCCATAAAAGATCACGTCTGTATGTATTTACCCATAAAAGATCACGTCTGTATGTATTTACCCATAAAGATCACGTCTGTATGTATTTACCCATAAAAGATCACGTCTGTATGTATTTACCCATAAAAGATCACGTCTGTATGTATTTACCCATAAAAGATCACGTCTGTATGTATTTACCCATAAAAGATCACGTCTGTATGTATTTACCCATAAAAGATCACATCTGCTGATTGAAACGAAGAAAGTTCGAGCAACAGCCACGACATATCACACACAAACGTGACTGCCATTAATGGCGCTCATAAAATTTCTGCTCGTACAACATCAAGGAATCGATCAAGTTTGATTTAGAAAACTCAGTTGACCAGACACATCAATGTAAACTTGGCTGCTAGTTTACTGCCCTTGTTCTCTGCTGTAGGATTAGTCTTAGGCTTTAAATTAGTTGAAACTGTTCGAAAAAATTTCAGGATTTATTTATTTTTATTTTATTTTTTACATTTCCGGTAACCTGCTTTGATGTATGACAGCAACGATTTGGAAGTGCAACTGAAAGGTTAATTTTTTTTTTGCCAAGTTGTGGGGGCTTTTTTTTTTTTTTTTTGTTGAGCTTTATTAGTGGGTGATCTAGAGTCAGGGGCCTTATTGTCAGGAGCCGTAATGTCAGGGGTGCTGACGAGAACATTTTTACGTCATTGTGTCGCCATTTTGTAACAATTGCCATGTTTAAGGTTTTATCTGTAAAATAATTGTAAAATCAAACCTACAGCCTTTTGTGTAGCTTTATTTATGTTTTCAATAAAAATAATTTTCGGAATTTATTTAAACAACTGACCAGTTTAAATTTTCCTGTGTAGTTAGACTTGATGTGCCGATAAAAATAATATTCATTTCGAATTTGTATGTAGGAGTTTAAAGGTCAGAATATTTAACTTTTAAGCTTTGAAAATCAGATTGATTAACTGGGTTGTATTACATGCGCAGACCAACATGGTGAATATCAAATAGAGCACTACCGCAACAGTTAGATACGAGAAAGCAGAACTTGATAGCCTAAGAACGTTTTACAATCTCTTGTTTGCTATTTATTATTAAATCAATTTCACTTATAGAGTACTGCACTTATGTACTCGTAGGCGTATATGCATATATTTTGATAATAATAGATAGAGGCTGTATATGGGTTGTGTGTATATATATATATATATATATATATATATATATATATATATATATATATATATATATATATATATAAAGAGAGAGAGAGAGAGTGTGTATATATATATATATATATATATATATATATATATATATATAAAGAGAGAGAGAGAGAGAGAGAGAGAGATGTTTATAGCCAATGGGGCTATATATATAACAATGTATAGCCTATGTGTATATCATATATATATGTATGTATATATATAATTAACCCATATATATATATATATATATATATATATATATATATATATATATATATATATATATATATATATATATATATATATATATATATATATATGTGTGTGTATGTATATGCCTATTGAACATAAAACCCAAAACAAAGTGCTGAGATTGCGTAAAGAAACGGAACAATAACTTACACATTCAGCTGTTTATGCCTGCAAGTCTGTCCGAGTTATCCCCGCTTTAACTGGCGAGCACGTGACGAGAATCGATAATTGGACCCGCGGTAACTCACGCATGTTCCTGTCAGCCGACGTTAGATTGCCTGCAAATTGTAGGCGTCACTGGTCAGTCGACATGCGGCCCGTCCTCACCCCGCCCGTCGTGTTCTGCCGGCCGCTCACAGCGTGTGAGGTCAGGGGTTAGAGGTCACGCGGTTATGCCACCGGTCACTGCCTCTTTCGGTCAGTTATAAGAGGTCGTGTCATAGGTCACGGATTGTGTGGTCAGTTGTTAGAGGACGTGTTCTAGGTCACCTAGAATGTGGTCAGTTGTTGCCACAGGTCACCGCGCAGAGGTCAGTGGTTAGAGGTCAGGTCAAAGGTCAGCTGTCATTCGATAGCGCCAGAGATTATTGATGCCAATAAACCGTCTCAACACCATCAGCGAAATCCGAAACCAACGAAAAACCGAGGCGGTTATTTATATTAACCTTCCTGAAAGTTCCACTTGACTTATTAAAGCCAATGTATAGGTGACCCCCCCCCCCCCCCACCACTAGCACCGTATCTATCAAGTGGGGTGACTGACACCCACACCAGAAGAACATTCAGTGGTATCTCCCCCCCCCCCCCTGGCTGAGTACAAACCGATTTCTTATGCTTCCTAGATGAAATGATTGAATTGTTGATGTAAGTGAATGCATGGCCGCTAATGTTGCTATTGTAGTGATCGATACTAAGTCAATTAGCAAAAATACATTAATGAAATCCAACAATGTGCATTACTTGATTTGTTAAGCAGTTCGTTTTCCCCTCCATAGACAATGCGTGTCAGCTTTTAACTTCATTTATAATTAAAGCGTATCCAATAAGCTCACCCCCCCCCCCATTACATCAGGGCTAGTGTTGAGATATATGTAATCATGCTTTGTCAAATACTTACAATCTAGCCAGTATAGATTCAACGCTACGGTTGAAAGCACAGTTCAAACTAAACCTATCGCTATACACTCCTTCCAGCGTATAATGTAAATAAGCAAGTTTTTAGAAAGAACTATAGTCAAATGTATGTAATACGATACCCTTTCGGACCTAAGTTTCAACAGGACTGGTAAAATAGTTGAAGTGGTCACGGAATATGAAGCGAAAGTGTCCTATATCCTGCCATCCTATCTTTCCTAAACTATCCAGGTACCTTATACCGCGTGGACTCTAAGAAGTCCTACAGACTCATGTCCAGAACTCAATTCCTTTTTAGCAGTTCTGACTGCATCAACAATCTATCTAAAGGCACAGATATGTTTAAGATCAAGATAATGTAGTGTAGCAAGATCAAGATAATGTAATGTAGCAAGATCAAGATAATGTAATGTAGCAAGATCAAGATAATGTAATGTAGCAAGATCAAGATAATGTAATGTAGCAAGATCAAGATAATGTAATGTAGCAAGATCAAGATAATGTAATGTAGCAAGATCAAGATAATGTAATGTAGCAAGATCAAGATAATGTAATGTAGCAAGATCAAGATAATGTAATGTAGCAAGATCAAGATAATGTAATGTAGCAAGATCAAGATAATGTAATGTAGCAAGATCAAGATAATGTAATGTAGCAAGATCAAGATAATGTAATGTAGCAAGATCAAGATAATGTAATGTAGCAAGATCAAGATAATGTAATGTAGCAAGATCAAGATAATGTAATGTAGCAAGATCAAGATAATGTAATGTAGCAAATCTTTATTCAAGTTGCTGGAAAAGAAAAAAAAAGATATATATATATATATATATATATATATATATATATATATATATATATATATATATATATATATATATATATATATATATAGCAGTCAAGTAAATGTTGAATAAAGCATGAACATGATCAATGGAAGACAGGATGGTCAGGTTGGTGAGACTAGCTAGCAGCAGGGGTTCTAGAACTGTTGGTAGCAGATACAGCAAGGGTTCTAGAACTGTTGGTACCAGATACAGCAGTGGTTCTAGAGCTGTTGGTACCATGTATAGCAGGGGTTCTAGAACTGTTGTTACCAGATACAGCAGTGGTTCTAGAACTGTTGGTACCAGGTACAGCAGGGGTTCTAGAACTGTTGGTACCAGGTACAGCAGTGGTTCTAGAACTGTTGGTACCAGGTACAGCAGTGGTTCTAGAACTGTTGGTACCAGGTACAGCAGTGGTTCTAGAGCTGTTGGTACCAGATACAGCAGTGGTTCTAGAACTGTTGGTACCAGGTACAGCAGTGGTTCTAGAACTGTTGGTACCAGATACAGCAGTGGTTCAAGAACTGTTGGTACCAGATACAGCAGTGGTTCTAGAACTGTTGGTACCAGGTACAGCAGTGGTTCTAGAACTGTTGGTACCAGATACAGCAGTGGTTCAAGAACTGTTGGTACCAGGTACAGCAGTGGTTCAAGAACTGTTGGTACCAGGTACAGCAGTGGTTCTAGAGCTGTTGGTACCAGGTACAGCAGGGGTTCTAGAACTGTTGGTACCAGGTACAGCAGTGGTTCTAGAACTGTTGGTACCAGGTACAGCAGGGGTTCTAGAACTGTTGGTACCAGGTACAGCAGTGCTTCTAGAACTGTTGGTACCAGATACAGCAAGGGTTCTAGAACTGTTGGTATCAGATGAAAGCTGCAGTATGCTGATATTATAATACAGCCTCAGTAGGTCAACAGCCTAACACAGCTCCAGCAGGTCAATGACCTAATGATTCCATGAGGGCAATGACCTAACACAGCTCCAGTAGGTCAAAAGCCTTACAATTCTATTAGGACAATGACCTAACAGAGCTCCAATAGGTCAATGACCTAATGATTCCATGAGGACAATGACCTAACAGAGCTACAATAGGTCCATGACTTAACAGCTCCAGGAGCAAGCACCACTAGACCTACTTAGCAGCATGTCTGAAGTAGCAGGCATGTTTATCTACTTCTTTCTCTTGACAGAAACAGAGCAAAAACAAATATTTGCTTAGCTCATAACTTCCAATTTTAAACTTTTGAAACATTGCTCTAGACTTTTTTTTTAAAAATGTGTATAAAATACATGTAAAATAACAAACATTTTTTTTTTCTTTGAATTTGGCAAAAAATTACAACCAAATTACAATACACAATCACAGAATATTAATGAAATGTCACTTTGATTCACTATTGTTTTTTTTAAAAATAATTTCATTCTAAAAACAATCTTAGCACAAAACAAAAACACAAGAAAAGCATGGGTTTAAACATAACTATTTCAAATTAAAGCTATTCCTTTCACCAATAATTCAAACAACAAAAAATAAGAGTAACAATAATTATTTAAAATAATGTGTTTGTTGTTAATAATCAAAGTTAGATGGAGTCATCTCCCTTTAGAAGGGAGAAAAATAAGTTAAAAAGGAAATACTGAGTTAAAGACCACTTGAAATGTAAGACTTCAAAATAGTAAATTTGAATCAATCAAGATCTTGATAATCCCTATAAAAATATAAAATAATGTAAAATATTTAAAACATTTGATCCACAATGAGAGGGCATCATAAACTTGGAAACCAAGGCCAATAAAGTTCTGCAACAAGCAAATCAATTTAGCACCATCATAAATAAAGAGTATCATTCTCTTTATCTCACGTTAAAAAACATTTATTTACACTTGTATTATGACACTCAATGTAAAAAGAAATGTGTAATCAAAGTCAGGTAAAAACAGACAGCCGTGAAAATAATTACTTGTAAACAACTCCGTCAATTGAGGAATTCAATATCAAAGGACATACTGGCCGGCTGATACAATCAAATGGTCAACAGCAGAAAATTAACTTCAGGTAGAAAAGAAATACAACAGCAAGGAGAACATTCTTAAACTCAAACCTACTAGGTAGTTCATGCAACAAATTAGAGTACATCAAAAACAACATGCATACACTATTTATGGTGTCACTTTGATATAAACATTTTATCAAACTTCTTATCAAGAAAAATATTCTTTATAAAAATATTAAAATGAAATAGTTTTTCTATTTAAAATCTTTTTAAAAATTAAATTTATTCTTCTTTTAAATGTTACAAAAGACCACAATTGCAAATATTTTTAATACCCCTGTTACGTTCTGGGTAAATAGTTTGAAAAAAATACAACTGGCCTCACAAAAGAGAAACGAGTTAAAAAGATGAAATTTGACAAAAACAAATGCAATCTTTCACATGAGAAATTTCTAGTAGTGCTTTTGACGACCGATTACTTCCAACTAAGCTGGTGTAAAGTTGGCTAACAAGGATAAGACAAGACAGGTGGGTTGAGTACAAGTTTCTTTGAACACATAATTGGAAGATTGGGTTATTAAAAAACATTTAGCATCTTATCATAGCTAGACATTGAATTCTTTCTTTAAATAGCACATGCAACTGGGACGGAAAACTACAGTGGAAATACAATTAAATAACTGGAATTCAAAATAATGTCTTCACTTATTAATCTATAATTTTTTTTTTTTAAATTTAAAAAAATAATGAACTAAAACTAACAAGTTTTTTTTATAATAAATTGAACTAACATCCAGAATGCTAGAATAAATTTTGTTTTTGCCTTAAAAATTCTGACTGTAGCTGCCATTAACTCAGTATTTAAAAAAGTATCCTAGAGAGAAAAATAAAACCTAATTAATTAGAGAAAACCATAATTTAGCCCTATTCATCTTCTGTCAGGCTACAAGGCCGTCTAAACTCCTGGCCGCGCTCATGAATCCACTTGTTGGCCACCCACTTGGTGCCCACTAAGACTGGACAGGCAGCATGCCTGGTGTTGTAGATGCCCTCTCCATTTTTCCTCAGGTTGAACCAGAAAGCTGCATTACCCTGGTGGGAGGAAGTAAAAGTACAATCAACTAGGGGAGGAGCACCTGAGGAGGTCTAGATACTTTAGGTGACAGTCACCTGACCTGAAAGTTTGCAACTTACAAGTAAGGTTGTGTGAGGGAAATAAATAGAATAAATGAATTTAAATACAGGATTTTCCTACAATTAACATAGCTATAAAGTATCAAATAATTTACCTTCTTTGGAAAAAGTTTCAATCCAATGTAAGGAAACACAGTAGCGCCCCCTGCCTCAACATCAGACATCTTTACAAATAAAGTTTAACAAGTTATCAAAACATAAGCAGATACAGCATTTGTTAAGCTTTAAGTTAAGCTTTTATAACATAAAGCAAGCAAAATATTAAAGTTCAGTACTGCTACTTTAAAATTTAAACAGAATATGATTAATGCCGTTTACTTTTGGATGAATATTTTCTAGTTTGGATCAGTAGAATGTGATTAAATAAATATATTGTACGGAAACACAAGGGTTGGGGAAGACAAAAATTTCAAACCAATTCAAACTTTGTATTAGGGTTTACAAGCTGAACATGATAGTAGAGTTCTGGTTTTGTCTAATATGAATTCTAATGGAGAGCTTAGAAGACTTCCCTACCTGCCTTACACATTTACTTCTCCCAAATATCAGCCTAACTCAAAAACTCTCCACAAAGTCTTAAACATTTTTTGCTGTACTGCAGCCAATAAACTAATATCACATTTCTGTTTTTTTATTTACAAATTTATTAAACTGGAAAAAAATATTTGCTGCACAATTTTATCAGAACAAACAAACCTAACCCAGCTGTATACTGCATATTGACACAGTTATCAATGTGAAATACAACCAACCTATCTGCTGGATATCAGCAAATAAAAAACTGCTGTATCTGGTGCTGTATGTAAGATAATTTCAAACTTACATAATTTAAAAATGTGGCTATTCTGTTCCCTGTGCCTAGTGACTTGAAAGCATCTTTTTCTTCTTTCTAAAGCACGTCAGTAAGCAGCAGAGAGATGGAAAATTAAGACATGCATACACAGTATACAAGAAACATGCTCAGAAAAAAAACAGTTTCTCCGTGTGGTGGGAAGCTGTTTTTTCCTGAGTTGCAACAACACTTACATAATTAAGAAACGTGGCTATGCGATTTCCATTAGCTTCTTCAAGTGCGCTCTTTTTTTTCCTCTGCAAGACACAATGGTGAACTTTTCCTTAGGCAACTAATTTAACTTAGTTACATCTGTCGCCCAAGTACATGGTGGCACTGTAATGCCCGTACAATATCCTACCAACCTTCCCCAATTGATCTCAAGTAGTTACTAAAAAAATTACATCCAAAGGACTAAGGATAAAGCACAGCTAACTTTAATTACTGTAATCCAAGGCACCATCGTGATAATAGGGTACCATAGTTTAGATTATCATCAAAAACCATGTCATTTAATGTTTTATTTACTTTAAACATGAGAGCAGTTTAGCATGCATTAGCCTAGGCTTGTTATTTATATTATGTTAATTCAAAGAAAATATTTTTAAGAAGATCCCCATTCATTTAATCCGGGCATGAAAAAAAGTTGTAAACAGTGAAAAATAGGAACTGATTTGATCTTTCAAATAGCTACCTTGTCAAAAGTTGTTAAAATACCATTCTAGGTTAAAAAAAATTGTAACAAATAAACCGACATGAACAAAAAATTGTTCAAATACTTACCCTAGCGAAATCAAAATGTGGTTCATAATGACCTCCAAGTCCATAATTAGCAATCTGCAAGAAATAGACCCAACATTCATAGCCTGCACTATACTAACTATGAACAGTTGTTTTTTCTATATAAAGTGCATTGTGTGAACATACACTGTACATGAAATAAGTGCAGGGTACTAAAGTAAATAATTTAAGTGTGAGTGTAAAAACTACACCCCATAACATAATCAAAGTGGATTTTTTGTTAAAATATTACTTTTAAAAGTTTGTCCTTAGACAACAAGACTCCACTGTTGCTAATGTGCAACTGAAAGTTTTTTGCTGCAAAATTTATCAAATAAATAATGCATGAATGAGCTCCCCAAAATTTTCTGGTATTTTCTAACATAACAGTTAGGGTTGGGACTCAGTGGAATTGAACCATAGAAGTTACGATAAACTGCTAATTCTTCAAGAAAACACGCAGTGTCCAATATTAGAATATGATATAAAATTATCATGGCCAATATCAAAATATGATATAAAATTATCATGACCAATATCAGAATATGATATAAAATTATCAAACTCCGAAGGTCCACCAGAAGGTTTTTGAGAAAAAGGAAATAAGAACCTCTTCTGGTTACTAGAAATAGCACAAAAATCTGAAAGAAACCCACGAGTAGTGTGAGCACTGACCTGAAGTTCTTCAGCTGTACTCATCTCTAGACCAGTGATTGCCTCCATTCTGTTGTTGACCTTCTGGATCACTGGGTGCTCATCACCCTTAAGCCAGGCACTGAGGGTTAACAATAGAAACAATGGTTAGCACTGAGGGTTAACAATAGAAACACAATTACTAGCACGGAGGGTTAACAATAGAAACACAATTACTAGCACGGAGGGTTAACAATAGAAACAATTACTAGCACTGAGGGTTAACAATAGAAACAATTACTAGCACTGAGGGTTAACAATAGAAACAATTACTAGCACTGAGGGTTAACAATAGAAACAATTACTAGCACTGAGGGTTAACAATAGAAACAATTACTAGCACTGAGGGTTAACAATAGAAACAATTACTAGCACTGAGAGTAACAATAGAAACAATTACTAGCACTGAGGGTTAACAATAGAAACACAATTACTGGCACTGAGGGTTAACAATAGAAACAATTGATGTATATAAGAAATTCTGCAAGGCTAATGTTTATTTAAGTATATATTTGGACACTTCAAGAAGTTACAGATATTTACCTTTTACTTATCCTGTAATTGGCAAATTCCAATTCTCCAGTTTTAGAGTTTTGAACTGTAGCTCTGTTCAGCTAGAAAAAATACATGTTTATTTATTTTGTATGACACCTAGTAGGTACACACTCAAAATATTTGGATAAATTAGAATGTTTACCACTTACACAAACAAGACCAAATAAAATAATTGCAGAGTAGCTTTAATCCTAGCTGATCAAAGTTGGCCATATTCAGGAAGAAAATTAGACTAATGTTAAAGTCAACAGACCATTTGGTATCTATCGTGTTGGCATGGTATTAAGTGATGTTAGGGAAATGTTACAACTAAGGATAAGGGGAAAGAAAATGTTAAAATAAAATGACTGACCCTGGGTGTAGCCAAGTGTTTAATTGTTCTAATTTCCTCATCTGACAGCACATCGTGGTAGATGACCACCCACGGGTCCAGGTGCACTGTCTCTTCTTTAGCAGGCTGGAGCAGCAACAGAGGGTGGTTGTTGGTCCTGTACTGGCAGGTCAGCCTGTCCGCATTTTGTATGGGCTGAACAAGGTTTACAAACAAAAAAGTTTAACAATACAACATTGCATATTTGATAGCTAGACATTTTGTATTGGCTGAACAAGGTTTACAAACAACAAAGGTTTAACAATACAACATTGTATATTTGATAGCTAGACATTTTGTATTGGCTGAACAAGGTTTACAAACAACAGATTAAAACATGATTATTACTTTACAAAATATAGTATACTTGATAGCTAGACATTTTGAAACAGTTCAACAAAATTTAGTGAAAAACAACTTTAAAACAACTTTAAAACAAAGTAATTAGTAAATTAGTAAAACTAAAAAAAAAAAAAAAATGACTGAATTCAGGAAAGACAACTCACTACAACATTCTCTCCCCTACAAAGGGCCTCATAGGTAAGGAACTCCTCAGAGTTTCTGTATTCATCCCTGATTATATGGTAGCCTGGTTTGTTTTTATCCACTGATCTTTTGTTCCTTGTCTCATCCTGCAGCATGGCCTCAAAGTATTTCTTGTTGTTGGCCGCCCTCTCATGGCCAGGATCTAGATGTCAAACAAATGATGGGCCATCATCACATAAGGATCACTAATTAACCAATTAGCACAAGAAAATTAAGTAGTTTTAATAAATATTATAAAGTATAATTAACACAGAGAGGCAGAAAAACTGATATGGATGCTGTTGAACTTTGAAAAAAAAGTTCATTTTTACCACAGACGAGATCTAGACTTATGTTAGGGAAACAAACTTGGCTAGGCATAATGCTGACCACACTATCCCTTCATATGTTGAGGTCAATGAATCAGAACTCTACTTCATCTGCCCCATGTGTCTTGGGAAGGAATGGGATTAAGAAGAAGAGAAGAAGATCTAAAAACATACCAATTGCCAAAAGTTCATTTGTCAGCACTAGGGCTTGAGAGATGTCACCTAGCTGTGAAAAGAAAAGAATTTTAAAAAACTAATTAAAACAAAACAGGATTGATTCTATTTAAGTTGTGTTTATTTATTTGCTTTGACTCTACTTTGTTTGTTTGCAGCTTTAGGTACAGTCTGAAGGTTTTATGGTACAGAGCACAGAAGGCTAAACTCTGAGGGATTTTATCTTTAAAAATCACATTAGGGCTAAGCTCTGAGGTGTTTTGTCTTAACAGAGCACAGGAGGCTAAGATCTAACAACAGGTACAGTACATTGTAAAAGGCTAATGTATTGTCATATTAGTATGTAATCAAACTTTGGGATCACATTGATGAGCTTGTTTACATGAGACTTTAGCTAAATCATTTTTTGAAAATTAAATTGGTTTGATTTAAGCCTGAAATCAGCATTCATTATCGCTTGCCTGAAGGGGTATTTAAGTTGATGTTAAGTCAGAAATAAAAGTCAGTTTTAAAAACTTAACACTCAATGATCACCAATAGTATGACATTGTTATAAACACTTAACAAAACCTGTACAGAGAATAGGGGCACATATAAATAGAACACAAAACAATTCTAAATTTGTATGATTGATCAGATTCAAAACATACCAGGAAACAAAAAAATCTTGAGTATGGGATTATAAACCCTAAACTATTACCATTGGTTAGTTACGCATGTGTTTGTTTTGATTAAAAATATTCGATCAATAAACAGATCCCAAAAAAATGGGCACAAAATAAAAAGAATTCATACTTTTTTTTTATTTCTGACTAGTCACTCACCACTCCATGAGTGTAAGACAGGTAATCTAATGTCTTATCTGACTAATCACTCACCCCTCCATGAGCGTATGACAGGTAATCTAATGTCTTATCTGACTACTCACTCACCACTCCATGAGCGTAAGACAGGGAATCTAATGTCTTATCTGACTAATCACTCACCACTCCATGGGCATAAGACAGGTAATCTATCCCTCACCACTCCATGAGCGTAAGACAGGTAATCTAATGTCTTATCTGACTAATCACTCACCACTCCATGGGCATAAGACAGGTAATCTAATGTCTTATCTGACTAATCACTCACCACTCCATGAGCATAAGACAGGTAATCTAGTGTCTTAGCCCTGTCTGCTGTCTTGATGTTCTCCTGAGACTCCCTCTCCAGGGCTGCCTGCATCCACAAGCTTGTATGGTAGTAATCCTTCTCCTCATAACTAAGGTGGCCTAGCAGATAGCACTCAGCGGCTGGCAAGTGAAGGGTTGGAGATGAGCACAGGAACAAAGTGTTTGAGTCACACGAGTGGGAGACGCAGCTGAGTTAGGGTGGCCATTCCAGCATGACAAAGGTGCAAGCAGGCATTTTTTTACAGCTCAAACTATTCTACACAGGCTATGTGTTAATTTCCATGCAGATATTTTAAGCCTACAATCACATTTGATTTCAGTCACAGAGCTGGGCAGATGTTATCCTGTTTAAAACTTGCTTTCCTACATCGATCCTTTACAAATTTTGCTGACTATGTAGTTGTACTTTTTAAACACCGACAACACAGATAAATGGCAGTTAAAAACCACAACTAGTTTACACCTCCTCACCTTGAAATAAGAAAAAGCCAAATAGTCTAGGACCTCCACCCTGGCAGATTCCAAGTCCCCTGCCAGGCCCTCAGTTTCCTGGCTCTCAATTCTTAACTTGCCATCTGCCTGCTCAAAGCTGACATGGTCTAAAGCTTGGCTCATCCACAGCATTGTGTGGTAGAAATCTCCTTCATTGTACGACAGCCGGCCTAACTCAAAGCATTCCTCGGCTAACAGGTGGGATGCAGGAGGCAGCACAGGTGTTAGAAACAAAACAGCAAGCATGTTAGAATAATTAACTAGTCGGTAACATGCATTTGTTTCTCATACACTAACACTGGTCGCATCAAAGTAAGGAAATTTATTTACAGGAAGATATGCAGGAGTTTTGTTTTCATTCAACATAAAGTTAGGCATTGAGAACATGCAATACATTGTGGTACTGACTTTGACAAATTTATCTCAAACACTGATCTGGAGCCTACTCATAGTTAGTATAATTCAACAGATTTATAATTTAAACTTTTACTATTGCTTCAATCTCTAAGAAAGTTTAAAATTTTAGCTACACTGTTTCAGATTTAAAACATCTTCAACACGAAGAAAACGGAAAATGTCCTAATTTTATTCAACCAAGTCCTGATTTGACTACAAGAATCTAATAGCATTTTAAAGAAATCTGTTGACATGAAGTTGAAGGTTTAAAAGGGAGGCGAGTTTTAATGCACTAACAGAAAGTCATTGGTTAAATATTTCAACAAAACATAGAAAACAAATGCATGTTTAAATAAACTGATTCATTTTTCAAGCTGTCAATGTTTACAAAAGAACATTCAAAACATATTTCTAATGTTATATTTATGTATATTAAAGAAAAAACATTTTAAAAGGCCATAAATTTTTATACCGAAAAATTACTAATTAATTTAACAAGTGTATTCTAGCAAACCTGATAGAATAGGGGAAGCCACTCCTCCCAATTCTCCATGAGCCACAGCTGAAGTGTCCAAGTGGTATGTGTCTTGTAGACGCATGAGGGCTGAAGCTGCACCTTTCAGGTCCTCAAATGTGGGGAGGTCACTCTTAACTTGTTCAATCTCTTCCATAAGAGCTGAAGTTTATGAAGCCACTAAATTATTGCAATCATCTTTAAGTCTATTAAAATATAATCTTATTTAGATGAACAATTTATTTTAAACTTCAAATATATTAGATTTGACTTAAAACCTGAAAATATTTTAATTTACATAAAAAACCTACCTAGAAAATACACTTGATTTATCCAGCAGATTGAGAAAACTTATGCAAATTAACCGAAACCCAAACAAGTTATAAACCTTAATGCTAATTAACCCAAACAAGTTGTAAACCTTAATCCTAATCAATTTGAACTTACAATCTAATGTATTGTTGGAGAGAACAGGGGTGACATTTCGATCCCAATCTAAGGTGAACTTCTTGATCAGCAGGAAAGCATTGACTGGGTTGCCGAGATACTTGTCAACATCCTCCAATGCCCTCTTGCTGTGTCTGTCAAAATCTTCAGCTAGCCTGGAAAATATTTGCATAATCAGTGGTCAAAATCTTCAGCTAGCCTGGAAAATATTTGCATAATCAGTCAGCATTGGGAAATATTTGCATAATTAGCCAGCATTGGAAAATATATCATAGCTGGCATTGGGGAATATTTGTATCATCAGCGGGCACTTGAAAACGAGTTTAAAAGATTTAAAATATAGACGTGTCCATTAAAGAGGGTTCATTCATAAATGACGTCAGGCTTTTTTGACGCTTTTTACTCCCCCCCCCCCCTCATAATCTGGCACACATCCATCACAAAGAGTATAATACTATTAATCAATCCGTACTAACATTTACAAAAAAGTTTCCAAAAGCACTGACATATCGGGAAAAAAGAATTTTCTAAAGTTACTTTTTTAAATGAAAAAAAAAGTGTGACGTCACACTATCTGAAAAATCCCCCCCCCCCCCCCAAAAGAAGAGACGTCATCTACGGCTCTTCCAAAACAGCATTTTAAAGAACGGAATCCAAGCAATCAGGCTACTTATTTTGAAAAAAATATTGTATAAAGAATTACAAAAATGCATTGTGTACAAATTTACAAACAAGTTTAAATCTTTATTTTTAATCACACAAACTAATTTGCCATCAGCTCGCCTCTTGATGACAAGTGTTAACAACAAGCTAAAAAATATTCGTTAAATTCCAAGTCAAAAAGGGAGAGAAGAAAAGCCGACTGCGGATTAAGAGCAAAATAAACAAGACGGATGGGCCGGAGACAGGGAATCGATACCGCCCAGCGGGGGGAAATAAAATCAATGGCGTATTGTTTCTCATTCATTTCCTGAAGCACTGGTGTTAATTGACAGGGATTCCGTCGCCCCGTCCATGCGGCCAACCCGTCTCAACGATCAGCTTGACGGCCATGTTGCGTGAATGGCACTCGTTTTGCTCGCCTCCGGTCTCGGCAGGCGATCGACTTTCTCAGTTCCTGATTGAGCGCTAAATCTGGACAAATCGTGCAGTTTCGAATAACTGTGACTCAATTATATGTGTACTTCATTCCACACTTTCGCCACTTTCGTGAAAAGAAGGGGGGGGGGGGAGGAGGGGTAAGGAAGAAAAGTGTAAAAAAAATAATTTCTTAAAAATACGTTTCGGTTTTGATTTTTGCTGACTTTTTGGTGTGGTTTTTTCAAATGAAACTTTTATACGAAGTCAAAAATAATGATTGCTACTGTTTAAATGTACACATTCGAAGACCTATTTAATTTACTTTGACGGTGTTTTTTTCCAATGGTTAAAATTAAAAGGTAAACTTACTAAATATTTTGAGTCTATATTGAAAATTTTAATTCAGTAAATCTTGGTTTGTAGTTTAAAAAAAAATAAAAAATTATGTGCCAACATTATAATTGTGAGTCGCCAGTCGCCCACAAGGTTGTAGGTCACGAGGCTGCTCCCACGTGGCCGTGTCCACAAGAGAGGGGTGGAGTTAATAAGTCGTCTGCGTGGGAACTAAGGAGCAGACGACTGGGTTCATCAGATGACGTCATCCACTTGAGTGGGAGGGGATTGACCAGTTGCTTTCCTCAGGATCGACCCATTCATACATTTCTAACACTTATTTCACACAAAACTGAGACGGGTTATCAAAAAGACGGGGTATCACAAGTAACAATGTGCACGAAACAAAACAAAATATATCACGCCGGCCCACTTTGTGACGGTTATTTATGTGTAGCTTGTAGTCGCATACTTTAGAAACTACAACACAACCAAACTCGTTGCAGATATATTTTCTCAGCGGCTTGTTCGTTACTCCCCCCCCCCCCGTGTCACCAGGAGACAGATAGGTGTCAGACGACCCAGGGGAGAGAAGCTACTCCGTCAGCCAGACAAAAAGGGACGGAACTGTACAGTGAAAATCTGGCAGGGGCATGCATGCTGCACATAGATCTAGTACTAGGTTTATTGATCTCGATAACCACTTGGTGGTGGTAACTGTCGTGTAGAAGAACTTTTAAAACCCGCCCAAAACTCACATTAAACTCTAATGTCTTACAGCAGTCTGGTTTAGGTAGTCACCATTTTAAGTTCGGATACAAGCAAGGGGATTTTAAACTGTAAATTGTAGAGTACTAATTATATGACAGTGCATGGCTTTTGAACATTACGGCTTGTGATTTCTCGTGGGGAGGGGGGGGGAAGCTCACAGAAGACACGTGTCATAGTGAATTTACTGAGCGGCTATTTGCCTAAAGCGGTGTATGTGATTGTGTCAGCTAGCCATGCTGTCACCACCACTAAAACTATGACATGCAAGTGATTTGTCTTAGCTGACCTTACACGACGGAGCGAGGCTTGCCTATACTGTCAGAGATACACGAGAATCATCACAATGTGGGAATGTTAGGTCGACGTGGTTAATGAAAGGAAACTTAACGCACACTGCGGGGTTAGAAAAGAACTAGAGATACAAACATGGAGCCTACTCGTGTTTGATGACGTATACATGATTGCCCCAGGGATCGCCATGTCAAAAAGTTCTGGGAAATATGGCATCACGTTTTCTTTCAGACATTTTGCTCCCGCGGGAGCGGTACCGAAATTAAAACTTTCGAGGGGCTGACAATGGTTTAAGTATTTATTCTTCTATTTCGTCCGGGGAAGGGGGTGAGGTGCCTGAAAGAAACACTTTAGTATTTTAAGAGAAAGAGTAGGGCCGTTTCAAAAGCTGGTTGTTTTTTCTCCTAGTGTACAGTGGTGATAAGTGGAATGACCAATTTCAGGTGCACCTGGTAACAAGGAGAATAACATTACACATATGTTGCACACACAGCTGTTGTGGAGAGAAACCCCCTGTCTATAAGTTGATGGCTAAGGGACTAAAGTGGTGAAAATTTAGCGCAGTGTGTTATAAAACTGGATGGTTTTGAAATCTGGATTAGGTTATCATTTCTTTGTGTGCAAGTAAACACTAGGAATGACACAACAAAATATATTTTAATCCATTTTTACAGTGATATTACAACAGGCTAGATGATGTATACAAAGAATGAAGTTCTCTTTAAAACCTGTCGGGCTATGGGACAGGTGAAGCAGAGTTCACCTGATTTTGTGACCTCAGAATAAGGAGAGATAGTGTAGTCCCCACTATGTCTAGCTGCCTTTACTTTCCTTAATGTGAGTTAGGTACCCATCATAGTTGGGTGGACTCAAGGACATGTTACCAATTGAACTACAGACCCAAACTTAAGACTTTTAGGTTAACAATCAAAAGCTCTCTTTGATCATGTAGTCCCACTTTTGGTCCATTGTATGGTCCATTGACCACGGCATATAAAGGTATAGATTGGTTAGCACTATGCCCAGCCACCTTTACTTCCCCTGAGTCAGTTACCCATCAGAGCTGGGTCGACTGGGACATTGTACTGGATCCAAACACAAGACTTTCAGGTTAATAGTCAAACCCTCAACCACACTATCCCTCTAGGTTTGTATACTGGTACACAGTGGTGGTTTAAAAAACTCCAATATATAACTAAAAACATACATTACATACTAGCTGTGTAAATAGATTAACTGAAGTGATAAGGACTAGGTAATAATTCAGGTTGATCATTGTCTATATAAGCAGGTGATTAAACTGTCTATCTGTAACAATGGGACTTATTGTGCCCATATCACAGAGAGAAATGTGTAATGAGTGTGTTCATATGCAGTAGAATGCAATCATATTGCTATTCCCTTACTTTTACTTTGAAAGTCAACTTTTAAAATATCTGAGCTCTGTGGAGAGAGACATAGAGAACCCCCCCCCCCCTCGTAGAAGCCAGACCCAGAATGTATGTACAATACTGCAGCAATAATATTTAGGGCCACACAAGATATCAGTGTTGCTATGTCACATGGTGTCACACTTCTTTGTTCAAGTAACAAGATACACAAACTTTGGATTTCACTTTCAGCATTTTTCACTTAAGTATCTATAAACTGATGTCACCTAAAAACGACTATGATATGATGACAATATATAAAGCTTAGCTAAATCAACCTAATAATCAATCTAATGAAGTGAGCAAGAGAATATTCAGTGCTGTAATCTATAACCCACTGAGGTGCCGGTGACTACAGTAAAACTACTTATGGTATAATACAGTTCAATCTAGTCTGTTTTCTGTTACAACAGAAATGGTGTCAGCACAATGCTTAATGGACCATCCCTTTCCAGGCTGGTTGGACTGTGGGACTCTGCTCAAATCCTGGCCGAACATAGAACTGGGACTCGGCTAAACAAAGTAAAATCCTGGCCGAACATAGAACTGGGACTCGGCTAAACAAAGTAAAATCCTGGCCTAACATAGAACTGGGACTCGGCTAAACAAAGTAAAATCCTGGCCTAACATAGAACTGGGACTCGGCTAAACAAAGTCAAATCCTGGCCTAACATAGAACTGGGACTCGGCTAAACAAAGTAAAATCCTGGCCTAACATAGAACTGGGACTCGGCTAAACAAAGTAAAATCCTGGCCTAACATAGAACTGGGACTCGGCTAAACAAAGTCAAATCCTGGCCTAACACAGAACTGGGACTCGGCTAAACAAAGTCAAATCCTGGCCGAACATAGAACCGGGACTCGGCTAAACAAAGTAAAATCCTGGCCTAACATAGAACTGGGACTCGGATAAACAAAGTCAAATCCTGGCCTAACATAGAACTAGACTTTTACCTTCATTTTTTTTATGTACATTCTCTTTACGCATAAAAAAAAAAGTTAAAACAACTTAATTCTACTTACTGTTTGATTTTTGAAATTCTGGCTTCTTCTTTCTCCACATACAACTTTAAAAGGCTAGAAATGTCTCTTTCAGCATACAAAGCAGTTTGCAAGTGGGCATTAGATGTGAACAGTTCAGCACTGGCAAGCTCTGGTGTTTGAACTAAACAGAGCACTATCGGAAGTATCACAAACATGGTGTTATCTGGTGAAAAAAATAGATTGAACTGTTGTTCATTTTCACATTTTATTGTTGGACAAAGGAGCAAAGCTAATATTTTAATAGAACTATATATTATTACAGGGGACAGAGTGGCCTAGCGGTAGACAGCTGGAATTCTAACCTGTAAATCTCGAGCTCAAATCCAGGTTCGAGTCAGTAGAACATCCCTAAGTCCACCCGCTCGGATGGGTAGCAATTAATAGATATAGATCTAGTTGTTAGTAGGGAGCCCTAAACATTTTATTTTAGAAAACTCTAGATCTAGGCCTCATTCCCAATCAATTTGTTTAGCATCTAGAGTAGACCTAAGTTGGACTGCATACTTGTTATACTACCTGTAACTAACTGTAGGGATAGATACTAGTAGATAATGTATAAGTATAGCCTAAGATTGTCTAAGAAGGCCTGAGAGCCTATGAAAAAGTGTAGTAAGTAAACTATGCTAAGAGAGTAAGACGTATTAATAAATAAAATGTTAAACCTATGTTTTAGAAAATGTTCTACAACACGTCTTTACTTTAACTTAAGTCTTGAGACATCTAGTCTAGAGATTATCCTAGAATCTGGATCTAGACCTAGCCTATTTATTGATATTTATTATGCTATTTTGTTACTCTGAAATCCAAGCTCAATGTAGATCTAGATCTATCTACTTACTAGATCTAGAATCTAGATCTAGATCTATACTCTGTCTACTAGATCTAGATATCTTTATCTAGGCTTAGTCAAGCTAGATTAGTTTTAAATAGATCTAGACTAGATCTATTCAAAGATTTAAAATTTAAGGCATTAAGCCCTTGGCCTTGCTTAACTGCTAGAAGATGTAGAAAGAACAGTAGGCCTAATTTCTAGAAAGGTAATTAAGTAGGGCCTAATTAATAGGCCTAAGTATTAAGTAGGCCTAATTATATTATATTATAATTATTAGGCCTATAAATATTATTAGACCTATCAATAGCCAATAAATAATAGCCTAATTTAAAAAAAAAAAATATCGATGAAATAATATAATAAAAGCGGCCCTATATTAGGGCCTATTCATTATTATTTATTATATTCAATTATTTTATATAGGGCCTAGCTAGGCCTATTCATGTTGTTCATAGTTAAGTCAAGTTAAGTCGTTAGACTCATGAGTCAGTTTTAGACTTTAGATCTAGAGTCTAGATCTAGAAATCTAGATTCTCTAGTTATCTACTAAAGGCATAAGACTAAGATCTAAAACTGTCTACTAGATCTAGATCTAGATCTAAGTCTAAAACTTAGATTAGAACTAATCTAGACTCTATGAAAAATCTGCACTCAAGTCAGGCAGAATCTCGTGTGTGAAATTGTTAGCGGAAAGAGAACTTAGAAGCCTAGAGAAAGGAGATCTAGATTTTAATTTAAATAAACTTGTATCGAGAAACTCACCTTCTCATACACAACCTAAGCAAGCACTCACGCAGTGAACACGTTGGCAGTTTTTTTGTGCGTACGTGCTCCCAGTAAAGTATTCTTTATTTAAAGAGCCAATGAGAGTTCTGGTATTCCACCAACCCTCTCCTTCAGGTCTTCCTCACAGCAAAGCGAGAAAGAAAATGCAAGTAAACGAATCCTGGCCAGATTTTTATATTTTGAAAAGAGTTTAAATAGAATATAGAAACTAATACTTAAAGCCTATATGCTTTTATCAAAATATGTAATTAAATAAGTGTGTTATTTCCTAGTCCGTCAATGTTTTCACATGGCAGTAAATATTAATTTCAACCAGTATACCCATCTTAGAAATATAAGAATGATCATAATTTTAATGTATAAGATTATGAAAATGTGATGAATTTACTTACCTATGAGATAAAATAAAAGTGTATGCATGTTTGATATACATTCGGGTATTAGTGATTATTTAGTTATAGCCATAATAAAAAAATAACTCATTTGGTTGTGCAATGCAAGATTAGATAAAGAATAGTCCTACGTGTATATTTAATAAGTGTCACTCTATCTGGCTCTTTATCGATGTAAACATGACCCATATTTTTATTGTTACCATATAAAGATGCTAGTCCATTTATTTTAGTCACTCTAACAAGCTAACAGGTGACCCCAGCATTTTATTGGAAAAATAGTTATCGCGCCTTAAACTTTTTTAAACAAATAGCATTTAGATCTAGATCAAATTTACATTTTATTTACAAAAACATATAATCTAAATCTAGATTGACAGTGTTCAATGGATTAATCATTCATTATTAAAATTGTTTTGTTTTGTAAAAATTAAGAGAGGCACATTTTAGAAGCTGACGTGAAAGTCACAGAAAGGGATGACTTATTAACACACTACCACATAAAAAAAGATTGTAATATCTGTAAGACACACATTATTTTACATTCTTTGTAATTATTTATTATCTATTAGAATTTTAAAACATTACATGTAGTTGCTTCGATAACTCCTTATGTATAAAAAATCTTATTAATACACATTTGAAAAGTGAAAAAAAATTAAGCACTGCTATCGTCGTTGACAACGGAGTAGCGCATCCTTTATCCCAAAGATAAACGGGCACGGTAAACCTTGATAGATCTAGATATAGAGCTATATCTACCACTTCAGTTTGAAAATAACTAGATTTCTTGATCTGTGCAAAGATGAGTTGTAATCCGAGACGTTCTAGCAAGGTATGAAGGATAGTTCTTTTCTGTTTGTGCAATTATTATCCTAAAGTTGATTGAATAATAATAATTTTAATATCGAGCAAATTAATCAAATTTAATCACTTTAGAATGACTTTTAGTCACTTTTAGATATATTCTAGCTAGCCTACTTCTAGATCTAGAATCTTGAGCCGTGTGTTGATGTCTTAATTTTATTGTCGTTTCATGTTAAGCATCAGAGTTTCTTCCAGGCATCTCCTCTGGGGGGGGGGGGGTGTAGAAAGTCTACCGCCCCCCCCCCCCCCCCCCCCCCCGCCCCCGAACATTTCAAGCCCCCCCCCCCCCCCCGGAGAAAAAAGTCTGGAAGAAACACTGTTAAGCATGGGGCCTGTAGCCAAGCATACTGATACTGTACAATGTTGACTGATCCCTAAAGTTTAAAGTAGGGTGTTACTGATCCCTACTTATTACTACTTAAGAATTAACGAGTGTTGCTCAGATTGACCTCTACTTGAAGGGTATAGATTAGACTGACCCCTACTTGAAGGTTGTTGATTAGATTGACCCCTACTTGAAGGGTATAGATCAGACTGACCACTACTTGAAGGCTATAGATCAGACTGACCCCTACTTGAAGGTTGTGGATTAGACTGACCCCTACTTGAAGGGTATAGATCAGACTGACCCCTACTTGAAGGATGTTGCACAGATTGACCCCTACCTGATAGGTGTTCCTCACTGACCCCTACCTGGAAGGTGTTCCTCACTGTCCCCTACCTGATAGGTGTTCCTCACTGACCCCTACCTGATAGGTGTTCCTCACTGACCCCTACCTGAAAGGTGTTCCTCACTGACACCTACCTGAAAGGTGTTCCTCACTGACACCTACTTGACAGGTGCTGATCAGACTGACCTCTATTTTGGTGGCGTTGATAGGACTGACCTTTACTTGAAACTATTGACCAGGATGACCCCTACTTGAAGGGTGTTGACCATACCGACCCATACTAGAAGGGTGTTTAACCCCAACTTGTAGAGTGTTGTTTAGACTGACCCCTACTTGAATGGCGCTTAAGGGTGTTGCTTAGATTGACCCCTACTTGAATAAAGAAGAGCAGACTGACCCCTAATTGAAGGGTGATCAGACTGACCCCTAATTGCGGGTGTGGATCAGACCGACCCCTATTTCAAGGGTGTTGCACGGATTGACCCCTACCTGAAAGTTGTTCCTCACTGACCCCTACCTGAAAGTTGTTCCTCACTGACCCATACTTGAAAGGTGTTGACCAGGCTGACCCCTACTTGAGGGGTGTTGATCAGACTGACACCTAACTTGGAGACCGATACTCCTAGCACCAACATAAAAGCTACTTTAACGAGAAGAGATGAAGCACAATAAAAAAGCATTTGATAGCTCCTCATAGGGGGTCCATAATTGAAGTCACACTCGTAGGGGGGAGTGGGGTCCTTAATTTTGTGACGGTGTGTGATGAGGGGTAGGGGAGTGTTCAGACGGCGTGACGTCACACCTTTGCATTATAAAAAATTGCAATGCTAGAAAACGAATTTTAGCAGTTATTTCGCGTTTTAGAAAACTGTTTAAATAAATTGTAATAGAAATTGATTAAAACACTCTATGTTGACAGAGTTCTGACTAGATTTGAGAAAAACATCGCTGTTTTAAGGAAAATTCAACTGCAATTTTGAGGGGGGGGGGGGTTGTGTGACGTCATTTTAGGGGGGAGTCTTGCTTACTGTGATGTGTGACAGAGGCGACGGGGGGGGGGGGGGGGTTGAAATCGTGAGAAAAAATCGTGACATCATTTATGGATGACCCCCCCCCCCTATAATGTTAACTCAGGAACTTTGGCACCTAACCCTCCTACACACGAACACTTATCCTTTACATTCAACTCTTTATGTGCTGCCAGTAAAGGAGCGTGTACGTGTTATATAACACAAAATGTTCACCCACCCACCTTTTCACATACATCGTTATGTAACAACCCTTAGCCCATACACAAACAAAAATAATTTCAGTCACCAAAAAAATGTTTACGCTTAAATGAGTTGTAACATGGTGTTTAGTAAGAATGTAAAAAATCCATGTTTCAACCATTTCATGTCAAATGTAAATTTGTCAAAATACCGAAAAACTAAAGGCGGTGTTACATAAAATAGCTGTATACCCTTTACAATATAACGCAATGTAACAAAATGGTTATGTAAGACTCCCAATCTCTTCATGTCGTATAGCCTAGTAATAAAGTAATGTATGCACGATTCTTTTTGCGGAGTCGTGTTCCTTCAGATAACGTCATCACTACCCCCCCCCCCCCCCCACCGTCAGTTATTCTAAGAGGGGTGAGTTTGAATGACGCGGCTGTCGTGGACACCTGTCAGTGGGACCCAGTGGGACATAAAAAAATGTCAAGACAAAACCCATCAAACAAAGATGGTAATGTGACAGATCAGCCAGCTACTCCTGCACAAAATATTGCTTGGGGTGTTGGGCGGGAGGGGTGGGGGGGGGGGGTGTACAGGCGTTGCCATGGGCGCATTGCGGGTTGTTCCCCCTTGTGATAAGTGCAGAGTTATCGGAATTTTCAATTAAATTTATGTATTAAAACAATAAGTATAGGTCCTATGTAATGAAAAAAATATTGCAGACTGGTGATGAACACTTCATACGACTTACCAAAATTTTAAAAACATCTGCAGACTTTTAAAATTGTGTGGCTGTCTTTTACAATTATTGATCAGTGTAAAAGTGCAGCTAGTATCGCAACTCTAAACTTAATTCCTGTCCTAACCATAGTCTAACCTAACTCGACAAACTAAATCACTACACCTCGTTTACACTTGCGACATGTATACTGTATATGTCTAGAGGGGGAAAAACTCGCAGAAAGCTAGTGTTATTCGAAAACATTTTTCCTGCGAAAGTGTATACTAGCTTGGTGCGAGGTTTTTTAAATAGACATTTATAGTATACAGTCATGCTGTAAGTGTAAAGGCGGTATTAATCGCGCAAATCCCGTGTCTTTAAGAGTCCGAACAACCGTTTAAATGAACCTTTTAACTCTACCCCACCCCTCTTTTTTTTATTAAAAAATTAAGTAGTTGATAATTCACAGCAATGCGAATTAGAATAGCATAGAAATAGAACATGTTCTAATGGTCTAGTGCATATAACTTAGGACTTAAATGTTAAAACTCAGCATCTCATGACAAAATACCTCAAGACTAAACATCCCACCCTACCAGAGGACCAATAATGTAATGACTTAATCCCTTTCATTTCTTTACCACAGCGGTCTGATGGTAAGCCAACGTGATAATCCGTTCCTTTTGTTTCATTTGAATTGCGTGTTTGTTTTTTATATTGTTAAATACTGGTAAATGGGAAGGTGAAACAACGATTGACTCTAAGCGCACAAGAATAAATCAGAAACTAGCGATTCTAAATCGAAACGAGCTTGTGTTGAAAGACAGTTGGTGTTCTGTAACAGCAGTGTATCGACTCATCGCAATTTCATGTATATGCAGTGTTTCTTCCAGACTTTTTCCGTGTGTGGGGGGGGGGGCACTTTTCTAAATAAATTCAATTTCGTTCGGTGGGGAGGGTGGGGGTAGACTTTCTTGGGGGGTGCCTGGAAGAAACTCTTGAGTATATGACACTTACTCCATACATATTTCACATCATCTTGTGACATCATGTTGGGTTGTTGTTTTTTTTTTTAGTTTTTTATTTATTATTTATTTGGTCATGATTATCCATGTATGTTGACCAGGATAGGTCATGATTATTCAGGTACTGTTGACCAGGATAGGTCATGATTATTCAGGTACTGTTGACCAGGATAGGTCGTGATTATTCAGGTCCAGGCGATTAGGATAGTAAAAGCTATAGAACCATCATAAATTGAACTGCTTTGATATTTTATAATACCTAAATAATTATGATATTCTATTTCAATAACTTGAGTTTAAAATGTTGATTCTACGTATTAGCATTTAAGTAAACCCAAGGCGGACGCGCATGAAGGGATGGCTTGGTAATTTAGTTGGGGATGATTTTTGTGTTGTTGGTTTTTGTCTTTTGGCGACTATGATAACACGGGTTTTCTCTTAGTAAAATCGTTTCAAACATAATTAAGCGATTGACTTAAAATTATTTGCAATCTTCAATTCCAAATTTCGTTTCAGATAGCGAGTACTGTGAGTATTGTTTTTTTTTTATCCAAATTATTGTAACTATAACTATCTAGTCTACTTTGGTATCAGATACCAGCCAGGATTTTATGTTTTGAATTTTCTATAAACACACACTCGTATATATATATATATATATATATATATATATATATATATATATATATATATATATATATATATATATATATATACATACATATATGTATATATATATACATATATGTATATATATACATATATATATACATATATGTATATACATATATGTATATGCATGCAGGCCTATATGTGAACATAAGTGTGTCGCGCGAGCGAGTTGTGTAAAATTGAAATTTTTGACATTCACTTGCACCTTAAAACATTGTAGTCGACACTCCCACGTGTTACTTCACGTGAGGTTTTTGTCATTTTAGGGGTTAGGGGGGGGGGATCTCTCCCACACCCGCTACCTACGCCACTGGTTATAATCCCTTTTGGCTAGCCTCATTTTGTTAATTTTAAATCCTAACTATACCTGCTTTTGACATGCGAAATGTCAATAGCGTGGTCTTAAAATGGAAAATGAGGTTTTTTAAAAATGACAAACTGTACAGAATGCAACAAAGTGACTAGGGTCACGTCAGGCAGCAACTGTCACGTAAAGTGTCACGTTTTGTGACAGTGATCACGTTACGCGGAAAGTGACGCTAAGCGGCAGGGATTGCGTTGAGCGACAAATGTGTTCAGCGTAAATTGTCACGTTACGTGACAAGTTCACGTGATTTAAAAAAGGCCACGTTAATCGGCAAGTATTACGCAAGCATAACTGACTGAGAAACAATGGGACGACGTGGTCGAGTAGTGGAGCACTCTATAACTAGCCTGAAGGTCTTGAGTTTGATTCATGTGCCCAGATGGGTTGGTACCAGGGGCAAGTTGTGGCCGACACGCACAGGGCTGGTGACAATGCCTTCATACATAAACGTCAGGTGGGGAACTCTACCTTTTCTGTTGCTGGACCGTCAGGCCTATATCAAACCTGACCCAAATGAGGAAAATATCTTTGTGTGGTTTTTTTTTAATATCTCGAGTATCTGTATGGGGTAAAATTGGAAATATCCCATGTGTGGGGTAAATGGGAAATATTTGATGTGTGGAGTAAAATAGAAAATATTTTGTGTGGGTAAAACGGAAATATCTAACGTGTGTGGTAAAATGAGACATTTCTCATGTGTGTGGTAAAATGGGAAATATCTCATATGTGTGGTAAAATGAGAAATATCTCATGTGTGTGGTAAAATGAGAAATTTCTCATGTGTGTGGTAAAATGAGAAATATCTCATGTGTGTGGTAAAATGAGAAATTTCTCATTTGTGTGGTAAAATGGGAAATATCTCATGTGTGTGGTAAAATGAGAAATATCTCATGTGTGTGGTAAAATGAGAAATTTCTCATGTGTGTGGTAAAATGGGAAATATCTCATGTGTGTGGTAAAATGGGAAATATCTCATTTGTGTGGTAAAATGGGAAATATCTCATTTGTGTGGTAAAATGGGAAATATCTCATGTGCGTGGTAAAATGGGAAATATATCATGTGTGTGGTAAAATGGGAAATATATCATGTGTGTGGTAAAATGGGAAATATATCATGTGTAGGATAAAATAGAAAATATCCTAAATGAGAAATATTTAATGTGTGGGTAAAATAGAAAATATCGTGTGTGTATGTGTTAAAATGGGAAATTTATCGTGTGTGGGGTAAAAGAAAATATTTGATGTGTGTGTTAAAATGGGAAATGTATATATCTCACGTATCTGTAACACGATTGACACTTTCAACAGCTGATGATTCTGTAGACGAAAAACCAGGTGAGTAGTACACAACCCTTGCTCATGTTTTTCTCGTGTGCGTGTGTGTTTGTGTGTCTGTTGACTTTTCATCATTTTCCCCAGGTTAACATCAGGTGGGGCTTATTGGATATCCGCGGGATTTGACTGACTTATTTTAAATGAGTTGTGGGAGGGGTCGCCAATATATGACGTGACGAATCCCAGGGGGCGAGGTGGGTGGGGATGCTATTCGTGGCGCCCTGTCACAGCAAACACATTACGTAACATTCAACGGACTGAAATACATCAGCAATTTTAACATTACGTAACATTTAACTGAAATACACCAGCAATTTTAACATAACGTAACATTTAACTGAAATACACCAGCAATTTTAACATAACGTAACATTTAACTGAAATACACCAGCAATTTTAACATAACGTAACATTTAACTGAAATACACCAACAGTTCTAACATTACGTAACATTTAACTGAAATACACCAGCAATTTTAACATTACGTAACATTTAACTGAAATACACCAGCAATTTTAACATAACGTAACATTTAACTGAAATACACCAACAGTTCTAACATTACGTAACATTTAACTGAAATACACCAGCAATTTTAACATAACGTAACATTTAACTGAAATACACCAGCAATTTTAACATTACGTAACATTTAACTGAAATACACCAGCAATTTTAACATTACGTAACATTTAACTGAAATACACCATCAATTTTAACATAACGTAACATTTAACTGAAATACACCAGCAATTTTAACATAACGTAACATTTAACTGAAATACACCAGCAATTTTATTGTTAATTATATCAGTCCTTGAAGAAAGTATGTCTGTAAATTAAAAAGCTCCGATTAACTTTTACTACACAAACCTAGCTAGCTGCACTTAAGCCCGAATTCTTTTAAAATTCCATAATATTTAGGTGTTTGTTTTGTTTTTTAATTTACCTCGCGAGGATTGAAACACTTATTAATCTTGTCTACACCCAGTTAGTTCATTCATTGGTTGGTTCGATTGAAATATGTTGCTTTTGTTGAGTTATTTGTACAGCTTGTCTACTTTGTCAATTGTATTTCTTTGTGTATTGCAATAAGCAAACATAAACATGTTTATTTGTATTGCAACAAGTAAACATGAACATGTTTATTTGTATTGCGACAAGTAAACATGAACATTTGTATTTGTGTATTGCAACAAGTAAACATGAACATGTTTATTTGTATTGCAACAAGTAAACATGAACATGTTTATTTGTATTGCAACAAGTAAACATGAACATGTTTATTTGTATTGCAGCAAGTAAACATGAACATGTTTATTTGTATTGCAACAAGTAAACATGAACATGTGTATTTGTGTATTGCAACACGTAAACATGAACATGTGCATTTGTGTATTGCAACACGTAAACATGAACATGTGTATTTGTGTATTGCAACAAGTAAACATGAACATGTTTATTTGTGTATTGCAACAAGTAAACATGAACATGTTTATTTGTATTGCAATAAGCAAACATAAACATGTTTATTTGTATTGCAACAAGTAAACATGAACATGTTTATTTGTATTGCAATAAGCAAACATAAACATGTTTATTTGTGTATTGCAACAACTAAACATGAACATGTGTATTTGTGTATTGCAACAAGTAAACATGAACATGTGTATTTGTGTATTGCAACAAGTAAACATGAACATGTTTATTTGTATTGCAACAAGTAAACATGAACATGTTTATTTGTATTGCAACAAGTAAACATGAACATGTGTGTATTACAACAAGTAAACATGAACATGTTTATTTCTATTTAACAGACGTGTGTAAGAGAGGCAAGCCAAAATGCTATGCAAGGTTGGTGGTAGCCTGTTATATGCCTCACGATTACAGGCACTTCTATTTCAGACCGTTTTTATAATGTTAGGTTTCTCTCAAGTGGACCAGTGCAGTCTATCCGTGGCCAGACAGTAGAGATTTCAACTGGTAACCCGAACGTTTTTAGTTCCAGGCTCGAGTGTGTCCCGGAGTTAACCCAGCTCTGACGGGTACCTGACTCACGTTGGGCTGGCCACACTTTCCCTCCATATGCCGAGGTCACTAAAATACAGGTGAACTCTACTTCATCTGCTCCACGGACTACCATGTTCAATGTGTGATTGTATATATATATATATATATATATATATATATATATATATATATATATATATATATATATATATATATATATACATATATAATTTAAGATGAGATTAGCTTGACTGAGACTATGTAATGAATGCGTGAAGAAGCTATACTAGCCATTTCTTCCCTTATCAAGTCGAGCCACCATAGCTAGCTGTATCAACCGGTTCAGATGTCGTCTAGCTTGTTTCAAACCCAGCAGATGGAGCTGCTACACCTTCTTAATGGTGTTCGGAGTTCTTTTTGCAGGTGAGTACATCTACATATCATGGTGTTCTGGGTGAGGAGATCAATTTTATACACCTTCTACATCGTGTTTGGAGTTTTAGCTATAGGTTAATATGAGTTTTTCGATCTAGTCTTGTCGATATATTGTTATAGCAAATATTGTCTTTATGATACTTTATCAACCAAAAATCTAACCCAAGTAATCTACTGTCGGTGGCTGAAAATCCAAAGAAATTAGTGTATCTTGCAAATTTCTCCATTATCTGTGCTTTAGCAGCTTGATGTCGAATGGATATAAATTCCCAGTGCGGATTTTTTTTAAAGAAATGAAGGGCAGTAACTGTGTAAATTACACACAAGCTGGTTGTCCCGAGTGACCCCAAAAAAAATCTGTTTCATTAAGTGACTATTGAATCAAATAATTCAAAGGATTTTCCCTTGTACTTTTCAAGAGTTGCTTAGTTTTCTCTTCAATGTTTTCGATGATTCGCTGTAAATAAATTAAAAAAAAAAAAATACGATTAAATATTTGATCTGATGCGAGTAAAAATTGTCAGTAATGGTGCCATCAGCTCACGTTAAGCATGACTGTAGTAGTGCCTTCAGCTCACGTTAAGCATGACTGTAGTAGTGTCTTCAGCTCACGTTAAGCATGACTGTAGTAGTGCCTTCAGCTCACGTTAAGCATGACTGTAGTAGTGCCTTCAGCTCACGTTAAGCATGACTGCAGTAGTGCCTTCAGCTCACGTTAAGCATGACTGTAGTAGTGCCTTCAGCTCACGTTAAGCATGACTGTAGTAGTGCCTTCAGCTCACGTTAAGCATGACTGTAGTAGTGCCTTCAGCTCACGTTAAGCATGACTGTAGTAGTGCCTTCAGCTCACGTTAAGCATGACTGTAGTAGTGCCTTCAGCTCACGTTAAGCATGACTGTAGTAGTGCCTTCAGCTCACGTTAAGCATGACTGTAGTAGTGCCTTCAGCTCACGTTAAGCATGACTGTAGTAGTGCCTTCAGCTCACGTTAAGCATGACTGTAGTAGTGCCTTCAGCTCACGTTAAGCATGACTGCAGTAGTGCCTTCAGCTCACGTCTTAAACAACTCTGGATTCATCTAGATTTTCAAACAGGAAACAACAGATATCTATTTCCTTATAGAAATTTATTTCCGTGTATCGACACACGTCTTTGTAGCGACACACGTCTTTGTAGAGACACACGTCTTTGTAGAGACACACGTCTTTGTAGAGAGACACGTCTTTGTAGCGACACACGCCTTTGTAACGACGCACGTCTTTGTAGCGACGCACGTCTTTGTAGAGACACACGTCTTTTTTGCGACACACGTCTTTGTAGCGACACACGTCTTTGTATCGACACACGTCTTTGTATCGACACACGTCTTTGTAACGACACACGTCTTTGTAGCGACACACGTCTTTGTAGCGACACACGTCTTTGTAGAGACACACGTCTTTGTAGCGACACACGTCTTTGTAGCGACACACGTCTTTGTAGCGACACACGTCTTTGTAGAGACACATCTTTGTATCGACACACGTCTTTGTAACGACACACGTCTTTGTAGCGACACACGTCTTTGTAGCAGACACCGGTTACGTCAAGCAGGAGAACAACAGGATCAACCATAGTACTGTCATGGGCTGCATCAGTTAACGGACATAACTCTATATGACGTCATCAAAATAGACTTATAATAGACAAAAAATTGTAACGACAACGTTTGCCTTAGACAGCTACGTATTTAACCTACATATAACATGTCACGTAGAGTAAGTAACCTTTTAAAATCGACTTTAATTAATTAGCCTGATTGAAATTTTCTTCTCCCCAGCATTTCTTTACTTCTATGGGCTCACGCTTATGTACCAGGTGATGAGACTGGTCCGTATAATGATACACAGCCTGCTACCGGCGTCATGGCTCATGGTAGGTGTCTTGTACGGTACCAGCTAGGGGGGGGGGGGGGACTGGCACCATATAGTCACACACGGGTAGTAATACCAGGTGCTGATGGTAGGTGTCTTTTACGGTACCAGCTAGGTGGGGGGGGGGGGGGGGGGGGGACTGGCACCATAGTCACTCACGGGCACGGGTAGTAATACCAGGTGCTGATGGTAGGTGTCTTTTACGCTACCAGCTAGGTGGGGAACTAGCACCATACACAGCCTCAAAACCAGAGATACTAGGGGCAGTGATACTAGGGGAAGTAATTCTAGGGAAAATAATACCAGGGGTATCAAAACTACGGGCAGCAATACCAATATTTATTTATTTTAACCATTGATGTTTCTCACTTAATTGTAGCACTAAAACATTTTGAATGAAGTATTACTTCTCATGAGTGTAGCACTAATGTCCAATGTATTACTTCTCAGTCCACAAGTGTAGCACTAATGTCAAATGTATTACTTCTCAGTCCACAAGTGATATTGTAAACCAAGCTCTCTACAAGTACAACGCAGATCGTGTGGGTTTGGCTGACTACGCTCTTGAGTCTGCTGGTGAGTGTTACATTCACAACCTAAAACTTTCTTTTGATACTCTCTTGTGATACTGTCATGTAATACTTTCTTGTGATACCTTTACGTTCTTGTAATACTTTTTATCTTATAGGCCTACTTTCTTGTGATACTGTCATGTGATATTTTCTTGTGATACATTTTTAATACATTCTTGTAATACTTTTTTCTTATTGGCTTACTTTCTTGTGCTACTGTCTTGTGATACTTTCCTGTGATACTGTCTTGTGATACTTTCCTGTGATACTGTCATGTGATACTCTCTTGTGATACTGTTATGTGACACTTTCTTGTGATACTCTCTTGTGATACTCTCTTGTGATACTCTCTTGTGATACTGTCATGTGATACTGTCATGTGATACTGTCATGTGATACTGTTATGTGACACTTTCTTGTGATACTCTCTTGTGATACTCTCTTGTGATACTGTTATGTGACACTTTCTTGTGATACTCTCTTGTGATACTCTCTTGTGATACTCTCTTGTGATACTGTCATGTGATACTGTCATGTGATACTGTCATGTGATGCTTTCATGTGATATTTTTTGTGATACTGTCCATTCTGGCCTTGGTCTATTTTTACTATGGGATTGTTAAAGGTCTATGTTGGCCATAGCTGTATGCTGACCTTGGTATAAGTCTGTCTTGGTCTATGTTAGACTGAGTCAATGCCTGTGTCCATGTGTGACACTAGTCTGTTAGTCACTGTCTATGTTACACCCAACCATGAATTCTTTCATTAGTGATGTTAAAGCTTACACTGTGATATGTCATGCACTATTCTTTTCTCAAACTCACTTGTTACTAGGTAAAAATATAAGTAGACAAAACAAAGGATTACTTAATGTTTTATTTTAAATCAATTATAATGAAACCGTTAGTATTTATGTCATGGCTCTGCCTGACTTTCAACTCAACACTTGAACACAACACTTGAACACAACACTTGAACACAACACTTGAACACAACACTTGAACACAACACTTGAACACAACACTGCAACACAACACTGCAACACAATACTTTAACACAACACTTTAACACAACACATCAACTCAACACTTTAGCACAACACTTTAACACAACACTTTAACACAACATTTTAACACAACACTTTAACACAACACTTTAACACAACACTTTAGCACAACACTTTAACACAACACATCAACTCAACACTTGAACACAACCAAAACTGTCACCAAATGATCACACATCCTGTTAACAATATTATTCAATTTCCTACAAAAATGACTTGATTTCCTTCTTCATTTTTCTAGGTGGGAGTGTCATTTGCAACAGTGACACTTACCATGTGACCTCCGGAACCATGTACAGTGTGTTTGGTTTGCCGGTATGGTATCATGACTCTGACCCTAGAGAGGTCATCCGGGTAAAATAACTTTTTACTAGTCTAAATTATGTAATTTGTCAGATAATTTACTCTCTGTGTCTGGACCTACATTAGTTTAGAAGTTTACCTGTTACTGTCACCTCAGCATATGGAGGGATAGTGTGGTCAGCATTATGCCCAGCCACCTTTACTTTTCTTATTGTGAGTTAGGTAGCCATCATGTGTGCTAAGTTGACTTGTAGCTCCCATAAATGTGTGCTAGGTTGACCTTTGACCCCCATAAATGTGTGCTAGGTTGACCTTTGACCCCCATAAATGTGTGCTAGGTTGACCTTTGACCCCCATAAATGTGTGCTAGGTTGACCTTTGACCCCCATAAATGTGTGCTAGGTTGACCTTTGACCCCCATAAATGTGTGCTAGGTTGACCTTTGACCCCATAAATGTGTGCTCAATGTCTTGTTTCAGCCGGACGTACAACCTGGCAAATGCTGGGCCATGCATGGGACACATGGCTTTGTTACTATCGGACTTGCCATGCCTATTGTTGTTACGGCAGTCAGCCTAGAGCACATCCCTAAAGAGCTGGCTACCTCAGGAAAACTGGATTCGGCACCTAATGAGTTCCTCATTGTGGTGAGTTCAATCTTTGTTTAATCCAGCTAATCCACCCAACAAGTATATCCACCCCACAAGACAATCCACCCAACAAGTAGGCTTATATCCACCCAACAAGACAATCCGCCCAACAAGACAATCCACCCAACAAGACAATCCACCCAACAAGTATATCCACCCAACAAGACAATCCACCTAACAAGTAGGCCTATATCCACCCAACAAGACAATCCGCCCAACAAGACAATCCACCCAACAAGACAATCCACCCAACAAGGATATCCACCCAACAAGGATATCCACCTAACAAGTAGGCCTATATCCACCCAACAAGACAATCCGCCCAACAAGACAATCCACCCAACAAGACAATCCACCCAACAAGGATATCCACCTAACAAGTAGGCCTATATCCACCCAACAAGACAATCCGCCCAACAAGACAATCCACCCAACAAGACAATCCACCCAACAAGGATATCCACCTAACAAGTAGGCCTATATCCACCCAACAAGACAATCCGCCCAACAAGACAATCACCCAACAAGACAATCCACCCAACAAGTATATCCACCCAACAAGGATATCCACCTAACAAGTAGGCCTATATCCACCCAACAAGACAATCCACCCAACAAGACAATCCGCCCAACAAGACAATCCACCCAACAAGATAATCCACCCAACAAGACAATCCACCCAACAAGACAATTCACCCAACAAGATAATCCACCCAACAAGACAATCCACCCAACAAGACAATTCACCCAACAAGATAATCCACCCAACAAGACAATCCACCCAACAAGACAATCCGCCCAACAAGACAATCCACCCAACAAGACAATCCACCCAACAAGACAATCCACCCAACAAGACAATTCACCCAACAAGATAATCCACCCAACAAGACAATCCACCCAACAAGACAATTCACCCAACAAGACAATCCACCCAACAAGACAATCCACCCAACAAGCATCAATTTTGATAACATTATCAAAATTACACATATGCTTCACTAAAATTGAACCGTAACAAGAATTCCTATTGGTGGAATTACCACCATTAATTGTGACTAGAATTCTAATTTGTGAAAATATTATCTCTACAAAAAATGTTAAATTCAGTGGAGTTTCAATATGACTGTTACAAAATACAATGAGTGAAAAATTGTTTTTTCAGGGTCAGGAGTTAACTGTGGATTCCCCTGAAGTCATCTTGGGAAGGTTCACATACAAACTTGATCAGGATCCCATTCAAGTTTTTCAGATTAAGGTAAGATTTCATCACTCAAAATTTGAACATTGACAATGCATATGATAATTGATAAGTACCCATCAGGATTAGTGTAAAGATGATAATCCACAGGTAGCCCATTAGATTAGTGTAAAGATGATAATCCACAGGTAGCCCATTAGGATTAGTGTAGAGGATATAAGCCATTTTTTAAAATATACATGTATGTGTTTATAAAAACAAATATTTAAAAATCGTCTGACAAGTTTCTTCATATTTTGTAACTCAACTGTCCATTAATAAATAAAGGCAGGCAACAAAAATTATAAAAAATTATTAAAAAATTTAATTCTACAATCATCTGATCTGTTTTTGTTGAGCTTTTTAATATTTAGAGATTATGCTGTTTGTTTGCCTAATGTATTAAGTCCTCTATCACTAAGAGCTAGTTGCAATGCGAGTTTAGGATGGGATTGTTTATACATAATATTATGGATTTATCAACAATGACAATTTGATATGAATGACTGAACAGCATTGGATACTTTCAATCCATGGTTTATTGCACTTGCTAAATAGACACGAACTGCAACTTTCACAACTTAAATGAAGACGACTATATTCACGATAAAGGACGAATACCTCCACAGCCTAGAACAACATGAGGAAGAGCGTCCTAATCTTTTTCCCCAGCAACCAGATCCTACTCTCACACGTCACATCCTTACATACCTCGCCACAGCCTCATGTCTTTTATTAATATAAATCATTCCACAACACACATACTCTCATACCCTTGTAATTAGATACCATTCATAACACTAACAAATCATACCTTCCTGCTATATTAACTGCTCTATATTAACTGCTCTATCACTGAAGCTAACACTAACTAATCATACTTTCCTGCTAGATTAACTCCTCTATATTAACTCCTCTATCAATGAGAGCTAACACTAACAAATCATACCTTCCTGCTATATTAACTCCTCTATCACTGAGAGCTAACACTAACAAATCATACCTTCCTGCTATATTAACTGCTCTATATTAACTCCTCTATCAATGAGAGCTAACACTAACAAATCATACCTTCCTGCTATATTAACTCCTCTATCAATGAGAGCTAACACTAACAAATCATACCTTCCTGCTATATTAACTGCTCTATATTAACTCCTCTATATTAACTCCTCTATCAATGAGAGCTAACACTAACAAATCATACCTTCCTGCTATATTAACTGCTCTATATTAACTCCTCTATCAATGAGAGCTAACACTAACAAATCATACCTTCCTGCTATATTAACTCCTCTATCAATGAGAGCTAACACTAACAAATCATACCTTCCTGCTATATTAACTCCTCTATCAATGAGAGCTAACACTAACTAATCATACCTTCCTGCTATATTAACTGCTCTATCACTAGAGCTAAAATTAAAAAACTTTACCTTTTAGGACTCCTACTGCCAGATTAAGTCTTCCGACACTGAGAGCTGTGGACCCAATAGACTCATTTTCAGGATCATAACTCTCAAAGTGCAGAGCAACTATGGAAATTCTGAGTACACCTGCATCTACCGCCTGCGTGTTCACGGCACGCCCATGCCTCAGATCAACAGGTTTTAGCACTCTCCATAGAGTACACAATCTGCCACTTTAACAAATCCAAATTAACTTCTACCACCACCTATTAGTACGCAGTCACAAATTAATTTCTACTACAACCTATTAGTACGCAGTCACAAATTAACTACTACCACCTATAGTATGCAGTCACAAATTAACTTCTACCACCACCTATGGTATGCAGTCATAAATTAACTTCTACCACCACCTATGGTATGCAGTCACAAATTAACTTCTACTACCACCTATGGTATGCAGTCATAAATTAACTTCTACCACCACCTATGGTATGCAGTCATAAATTAACTTCTACTACCACCTATGGTATGCAGTCACAAATCAACTTATACTTCTACCTATAGTATGCAGTCACAAATTAACTTCTACTACCATCTGTTATTACGCAGTCACAAATTAATATCTACTACTATCTGTTAGTAATAAGACAAAAACTCCCTACTGTTATTCTTTGTCACAAATCAGCAACTTGTAATTTCCTCAGAAAAAATATTTGTATTTGAACTTTTTAAGGCTTAAGTATAAGCTTTGACCTGCATTTATAATTGCCAGGTTTTGCATTTGGTCAAATTTTTTTGTTTGTTGACAAAGTGTACACAAAAACAAATACTGAAAGTTTATCTGCTCAGCTTTTCTTGGAGAGAAAGAAGATGAAAGCTTGTATGTTGATCACATTTACTCTCCATTGAATGTGATTCTAAGTTGATATTTGTTGATCGTATGTGTGCTCATAATAATGTATTCTAAGCTAGCATAGGTTCAGATTTACACTTATTAGGATATGAGTTTACCCTTGTATTTTGTGATCTACTTTACACGTGAGGATTTGATTTTAAGCTGGCATTTGTTGATCACATGTTTGCTCATCAGGATATGATTTTTATACTATCTTTAGGCTTTTTTATAACAATTTTATAATATATTTTTTAAAGCATTTAAATAATTAAAGTAACAAAGTAGTATTACCTGTGTTTTGTTTTTATTGTTAATCCTGTTTGGTATTAGTTTATCTCTGTGTTCAAACTACAATTTGTCAGCTGAAAGGTACAATGTACAGCTAAAATCTAAAAGTATGTTACACTATTAGGCAGTCCACACACAAAACAGGCATTTAAAAAAATTATTAGTGTATAACTGAGCCTATAGAGGCCCATACAATATGACATATTTTATATAAGGATTATATATGGGTTACCGGATTATTTTTACAAATTTCATTATGCTATGTGTTATTGACAAATGAGGGAAAGGGAGATAAAAACCTGAAACAGCAGATCTAAATCCAAACCTTCATCTCAAATTATTACAAAAAAAAAGGTATACACTGGACTTAAAGATATGTTTGTGAAAATCTCACGCAGTGAACATGAAAATAAGATTTTATAATATTTACAATAAGTTTAAAATTTTAAAAACAAATTCTACAACAAATAAAAGCTACTTATTTAGACTTGATGGTCAATAGGGCATAACTGTTGCTCAAGTTAAGTTCACCTCAACATGAAGGTATATTGTGGTCAGCTCTAAGCCTAGCAGCTTTTATTTTCCCTGAGTCAGTTACCCTTCTAACCTGTGAGGACTCAGGGATTCAAACTTGAGACTTTTGGATAAGCAGTCATGCACGCTACCATCTGGCCACCCCATCCAACGCTGTATCAGGTTGACTAAACAAAATAGTTTTCAAACAAAACTTAAAATAACACTCGGTTACTAAAATTCTATTTATCTCAGTTATTACCAGGAAGGAAAGAAACACAGAAACACAGCTTAATATAAATAAGTATGGCATGTTAAGAAAAATTTCATTTGAAAATAAAATAGTTTTTAAAAAACTTAATGTTATATAGTTTTAAAAAAACTTTGTTATATAGTTTTTATAAAACATTTAGGTTAAATAGTTTTTAAATAAACTTAATCTATGTAATCAACTAAAAAATACTTCCATATCAACATTGCATTTAAAAAATCTTACAAATGTAACAAGTGTAACAATATAGATGAGCAGCATGCTACTTGGAAGTCATTACATGAGTTAGTCAACATCAACTTATTACATGAGTTAAGTCAACATTGGCTTATTACATGACCTAGGTAAGTCAACATCAACTTATTACATGACCTAGGTAAGTCAACATCAACTTATTACATGACCTAGGTAAGTCAACATCAACTTATTTCTTGAGCTAGGTAAGTCAACATCAACTTATTACATGACCTAGGTAAGTCAACATCAACTTATTACATGACCTAGGTAAGTCAACATCAACTTATTACATGACCTAGGTCAGTCAACATCAACTTATTACATGACCTAGGTAAGTCAACATCAACTTATTACATGACCTAGGTAAGTCAACATCAACTTATTACATGACCTAGGTAAGTCAACATCAACTTATTACATGACCTAGGTCAGTCAACATCAACTTATTACATGACCTAGGTAAGTCAACATCAACTTATTACATGACCTAGGTCAGTCAACATCAACTTATTACATGACCTAGGTCAGTCAACATCAACTTATTACATGACCTAGGTCAGTCAACATCAACTTATTACATGACCTAGGTCAGTCAACATCAACTTATCACAAAAATTGACTAGATAATACATAGCTTCTATACACAAGTTGTATACTAAAAACTGCCTCTGTAGGAAACAAATATCTTTCTGAATGAATATCAACAGTGGAATTGAGTCACATAATTTCAGAGGTAACAGGTCAACAGATGACATAAGTAATTGTTATGTAATAAGTCATATAAATGTATCTTAACATAAGATATGCTTAAACAATATAACAATATATAACAAGGTTATGTGACTACTTCAGCCTTTGAAACTGTCTAAAAGCTTTTAAATTTGCTCTCATGAAAAATGAAAACAAAGTTTACAAATAACAATAAGTGAAAATTCCCAGTTGAGCGAAATACTGGTGCTTTTTTTTTTCACATAGTCATATGAGCTTAGAAACTTGTAAGATGCTATGTAACAATAAAAATAATGTTTGAAATTAGCATCGACCAATTAAAAAACCTTTTCAAGTTTAAATCTTCATGTGGTGCACTTTATGTTATTTCATCAACCAGATGAATTCATTCTGATTCAGTCCAAATCCTCATATCGAGCTCTCTTAGTGTCAAGGTCATCGTCATCTTCCTCGTCAGAAAAACTTGAAGAACTAATGGCCGGCTGGTCAGTGATGACATGGAGTGGCACGCTTGACCCAGCCGGGACATCTTCTTGACTGGTCAAGCCGACACTAGAAAAAAATTCAGCTCGTTAAAATTGTATCATGACGACGAACATAATTCAGCAAAAATTATTTAAGACATAGTTGAATACAAACCAGTGATTTAATTTTACTAATTGTAACAAAGGAGGACATACGTGCTAGAATTAATAGAGCCCGCTGCGCTTTCACAGTCCTGCGACCCATATGGAAAAGTTCTGCCATCTCCATTACCACAAAAATTAGGATATTTAACTCTAATGTCAAGGCAGTTCTGCTGTATGGAGCAGAGACATGGAGAGTCTCCAAGGCAAGCACAGCAAAGATACAGACCTTCATGAATAGATGCCTTAGATAGATATTGAAACTGAGATGGCAGGACAAAGTGCCAAACATAGAACTATGTAGGAAAGCTAGGCAGGAGCCTATAGGTGTGCAAATAAGAAGGAGGAAGTGGCGCTGGGTGGGTCACACACTGTGAAAGGCTCACTCAAATGTTACACGCCAAGCACTTGATTGAAACCCCCAGGGAAAGCGGAAGAGAGGGCGCTCAAGACAGACCTGGAGGCGGAGTCTTCTTGAAGAACTGAAGCCAACAGGGATGTCTTGGGAGATGACAAAATTAATAGCCCGGGATAGGAAGAAATGGAAAGAAATGATGGAGGCCCTATGTTCCATAAGGAGCAAAGAGGACTAAGTCAAGTAAGTCAAGTCATACTTTTGTAATGGACTAAATAATGTTTTCACATAGTGAAAACAGAGAATTAAAGAGTATATTATACTAATAAATGAACAGTTCACAAAACTGTTTTTTATTTATAGACAAGGTGAATTTTAGCTACAGGGTGAAATAAGTTTGCATGATGCATCAAATCAAATTATATATGTATAAATTATATATATATATATATATATATATATATATATATATATATATATATATATATTTTTTTTTTTTTTTTTTTTTTTTTTTTTTTTCATTAAGGAGAAGTAAGCTAACATTGGAAATACCCAGCGTAAACCAACTAGAAACATCGCAAGACAAGACTAGACTGGAATCCCCAAGGAAAGAGGAAAGAAGGAAATGGTCAGCTGTCAGTGAAGCAGGAGCAACCCGAATGTTGCGGGCCCAACTTGGAGGAATTGCCCAGAGCCAAGTAGGATGAAGAGGTGTTGTTGTGTCCCTAAGGTCCACAAGGGGACCACAAGAACAATGATGATGATAGTGGTAACAGATGCGTCCAGAGTTAAATCTAGTTTCACCCTACCTGGCTGCTTCACTCTCTATCATAGCCAGAGCTTCAGAAAAATTCTCAATCAGGTGTCTGGCGTTGTCTGTGGTAAAACAAAGAGGTGGCTGGATGGCCACAACATTTTTGTCTCTCCCCTCCACGCCAACAATTATTCTCCTTTCCTTCAACCTATGGGGTAAGATTACCACGTGTTCAAATATGTTTGTACGTGTTAAAAAAGTGAACATTCAGCAATAAACCTTATCAAGTTGAAGAAATATAAATAGTTATGCACATTACGGTATATTAAAAAAAATTGATATAATTTTTAATAAACATGTTCACTAACTAAAAAGCTAGTAAGATAATTTTAGAAACATTTTTAAACAATAAACAACTAAAATATCTTACATAACAAAATACAGCACATATTAACACAACCACTTACTTGTAAGCCAAAATTTCAGCAGTTTCCTTGGCAGGTTTTTTACTCTCCTTGTCCATGACCAGTTCAATACCCAGCAGCATCCCAACACCTCTGGACATAAATTATAGCTCATTTGTACACACAGTCTTGACTAATCAGGCAACTAAAATGTTTAACTAACAAGAGCTGGAAGGTTCGCTGGAATAATTCTCACATGGAAAAATAATTGTGTTTGGTCAGTGTTTCACATTTTCACATTTGACAATAATATACATAAATTTATCTAAAGCTAATTGGGACAGTGTGTTCCAGCTATCCATCACACCACTACTTGCTCTAAGGTTGGGAGTTCCAATAAATAGCATGAGTGTGTAGGACATCTCCTATTCCAGACAGCTCCCATGGGTACTGGAATCGAGTCAGGAATAAGTAAAGTGGAGTGGGCAAAATACATACCACGCCACGCCTTCATATTTTACACAAAGCAAACAAATTTTAAGTTATTTCAGCCTCAACAATAGCCTCCACTTGTAAACAGTTGTTACAAAAACTTTAGTAAAACCAACCTGACATCTCCCAACATTGGGTGTTGAGGCTGGATAGCTTTAAAACCATCTTTCAAACATTTCCCAACACTCTTGGCACTGGACATAAGTTTTTCATTCTCAATGACGTCCAACACAGCTTGACCAATAGCACAGGCGACTGGGTTCCCTCCAAACTGAAAATCAGCACAGCTTACATTACAAACTGACGTAATTCTTTCAGCATCAAATAGATAGCAAACAAATACCTCAATTTAATCTATATTTTCAAGAAAGTTTTCAGGCACAAAAGATAAAAATAGCTTCTCAACTTAAAACAAAAAAACCTTAGTATTATTATTCATTGTGGTGCACTGAATAAAATTAATTTTACAGCTAGAATAGGGTGACAGTTGATAAAGTCAAATACTTGTAACTTGGTGTGTTCTAGTTCTATTACTGTAAATACTGTATTCCTACTTACAGTGCTTGTGAAATCTGACAAACTGTCAGCAATTTCTTTGGTGGTTATTACTGCAGCCAG